ACATTTATGGGCATGTTGTAAACCTCTGCAGTGTTTATTGTCTTCAATTAGCCAACTTCACTCATTTATATCACCTATAGCCCCCTATTGGGGTTTGAGTTTGTGATTCGTGACTTTCTGGATGGAAGAACTGAGAAAGAAGAGCCTGTGAAATGGGACTTTACAAAAAGGTCCACAAGATATGAAGGAAACCAAGAGGGAGGGCTGTAACAACAGTCTAGAGAGTGGAAGAAAAAAATGTAGTTAACAGTGTCAAATACCCCTGAGAGAGTCAGTCAAGATAAGGACTGCAGGTCATCTGTGTCTTTAGAGAGAGCATGCTCTGTTAAATGTGGCTAGAAATCAGATTGTACTGTGCTGAGGAGTGACTAAATCTTAGAAACTGGAAATAATGAATGTTATGAAGAGTTTCAGTGAGTTAGGGAGGAGAGAAATTGGATGGTAGTAGCAGTGAGCCCTAGTAAAGAGAGATTTCAGTTTGTTTTGTTTGTCAATTTGCTTTTTTTGTATAGAACATGAATGGACTGAAGGAAAAGGGCCAGCAAAAAAAGAAAAAGTTGGAGATAAAGGACAAAAAGAAGATAATTAATGGCAAAAGGTCTTAGCCTCAGTGATAAGGAGTGAAATCAAACAGGCTTTGCTTTGAATAGCAGGAAGCACCCCTGATCTTTTTCAAGATTGGAAGAAAGAAAGTAAGAATGCTTATAAATGTAGCTTCTTGATGATGGAGGGAATTGCAATGATTCACACGTAGTTTCCACACAATGACCTCAATTTTCTTGCTAAAATAGCAAGTGCACTAAGAGTGAGGGGGAGAGATTGTGTGGTTTGAGTAGGGTAATAAACTTTTGAAATAGTGGCTGACCACAGTCAGAGCGAAAGGATTAGTTACTGCTATTGAGGGACTAACTCAGATTAGAAAACCATAAATCTATAGAGTGGTATAATTTGATCCTGTAGCACTCATAAGTCTGGGTGTAAGAAAAGAGTAGATTCACTATAGCTCAGACTCAAGGTTGCATGTACTGTGTAAGAAAGAACAGGCTGTAACACTATCCAAGCAAAGTTCCAAGCAAGACTTGGAAAACATGGGAAGATCAAGGTCACTAGAAGTCTCACTGAATGTTAAGCAAATAAAGTGAAAGGAAAAGCATTTATTACATTTATAATCTAACTTTACCTCTAACTTAATCTTATGCTTTTACCTTATTTCTTCTTTACCCTTATTTTCCCACATATTTTATATTGTCTTCATATTTTGTAAGGCACATTTTAGATACAAGGACAGGTATAAGCAAATACAAGGAAACTGAAAACACACAGATGGTCAAACAGGTGAGTTTCACTTAAACAAAGGAAGCTGGTATTCAAAGTATCTCTTCTTGAGCTGTTAATTTTAATTTTTGTATTTTTTAGAGACAGGGTCTCACTTTATCACCCAAGCAGAAGTGCAGTGGGGCGATCATATCTCACTATAACCTTGAACTCCTGGGCTCAAGTAATCTTCTTACCTCAACCTCCCAAGCAGCCGGGACAACAGGAATGTGCCACTACACAATAAATTTTTAAAAAATTTTTATTTTGTAGGGATGGGATCTCACCAAGTTGCCCAGACTGGTCTCGAACGCCTGAATTCAAGCAATCCTCTCACCTTGGCCTCCCACGGCATTGAGCCACAGGCATGCGTCACAGGCATGAGCCACAGCCCCTAGTCAGTTGAGCTGCTGTTAACTGAGAATAAGATGCTGGAGATGGGTAGGAGTTTCTGTGGTTGATGTAGAGTGTAAGTTTATGGAGGTTGCAGAAGTTAGAGTTTAATCAATGATTTGTAATTTGGGGGTAATTTTGCTCTGAGGAGACAGTGGTCAATGTCTGAAGATATCTTCAGTTGTCACAACTAGGGGTTCAATACCACTGGCATCTGCCAGGGATGCTGCTAACTATCCCACAATGCACAGAACGTTCCCCCATCCTTAACAAAAAATTATCTGGATCAAGGTGTCAGAAGTGTTCACATTGAGAAACCCTGGATTAGATACATTATTTGTAAGACTGATGGAAAAATAAAAATGCTAGGAAATCATTTGGAGAACTGCTGAAGAACCACTCAGAGCATGAGAGAAAGAAGAACCACCCAGAGCATGAGCATGCTAGGTGATACAAGATTCAAAGATGTATGTTTGTGATAGGCTGAAGGAGTCAATATTTGGAAACATACATGGAGAACTGGATTTGTGGTAGGAATGTGCAAATGATCCCTGAGTCAGCAAATTTGTAAAGCAAATGTAAGGAGGATGAAAGCAAGAGAGCTTAGAGAAAAGCATATGCTATTTCCTGCTGCTTTGTGAAAAGTCATGTTTCCCTTATCCATAACTAGAATTTCTACTTAATTCCCTCAAAGTTTCCAGTTGAATGCAGCAAAGATCAATATTGGTTTGAAAATAATTTATCTCTAACACAGAAGCATTACATGAGAAATTTTTGTTTTCCCCATAACCTTCAACTAGCTTTCTACATCTCTCTTATGTGTGCGTGTGGTTTGTCCAAACAGACAACATTGGTTGCCTCTTTGTGATCAACCTCACAGGACTGACCATCAATTCTCCATACAACACAGCATGTAATAATCACGCTCTGCTTTGGTTTAGTTAAGATAGATCTTTACTCTGTGTTTCTTTTAGTAATCCAATAGTGGACAATTATTTCCTTTAGATGATACATTGCTTATAAAACCTGCCTTTTGGAAGCTGGAAGGAATTGTAATATATGATAGGTTTTGAGTCTTGTTCATCTAAGCTTTGTTTTGCTTATATGGATGGTCAGGTATTCACACTGACTTATCCTCTGTGAAAACGAATTGACTCAACTACTTTTTCTGCATTCTTAATTAGCTGGATCTTTCAACTCTATGCAGTAAAGCCAAGGCTGAATGACTTTTAAGATAATGCCAATGTATATGATGGGTTAATCTATATTTTAGACTGATTGTAAAAAATGGGCAGGAATAGCTGGGCTCGGTGGTTCAGCCTGTAATCCCGTGCCTTTGGGAGGCTGAGGTGAGTGGATTGCCT